GGGGGGGGATACATTTTCCTTGAAGCTACCAATTTTTGAGGATTTTTTAAAAAATAAAAACTTGACAAAAATATGTTTCAAAATGGTTTTCTATAAAGATCATCATCGTATGATTACTCCAAACAGCAACATTTTTCAAAGACAGTACAATATCGATCCAATGCCACACAACTTGTTTTGAAACCGAGAATGCAGAATAATTAAAAACAGCGTAAGAACTATGAAAGAATGGCTAAAACCGTTGACCGGTCGATACAAAATGGCGCTTCCTCCATATGTTTCTTTGTAAAATGACAACTTTTGCTTCGATTTTCCTTTCAAGCTTGTAAATCCAGCATCTTTCCTCCACAGCACCATACACTTGAAAGTTCAACTCTTTGAGCATTCAGCCTCGTGGTTCGTTGCAGAACTCAGCGAAAAAAACGGCCAGACCCCCAAAATATAACCAAAGCTGAAGGATCTTCGTGTCCCGTCGCCATCATTAAAGTTCACGTGCCGTTAAGGACCATAATATATCGAAAATTTGACTAAAATTGACCAAACAAACAGCATACAAGCCGCCCATGTTGTTCTCGTCTTTGATCGAGTGACCAAAGGTCACCCAAGACTAATGGAGATGCCCGCTGACAATAGTGAGTTTACGCAACAGGACGGCAGGAAGAAGAGGACGGCAAAACACTTGTGTGTGACAAACGTGACAGGGCTATTACTTGCGTTTTTTGTCATGATCTTCTATTAACACCAATGTCTCCTGGACCTTTACAAAAAGATCTGTTTAAAGGAAAGTGAAGTCAGCCGAAAAGTTGTTTCAAAGAAAATTATTGTCACGCTTGTCACACAAGGTTTGCCGTCTTCTTTTCTCTCCCGTCCTGTTGCGTAAGCTCACTAATTTTTTTGCCTCCGTCCGAGTACCAGTTAAAGGGTTTTAAAAGCCATAAACCAAAAGAACAGCGCTTCAGATACTTTATTCCTCGTTCTATAAGCCATAAACCAAAACAAAAGAGCACGCAGTCAATCGCTACTGAAAAGCCTGCTCTAAATGACAATAAATATAATATTTGTCTTTTTATAAGCCATAAAACAAAGCAAGTGCAGTGCATACAAATATTCCTCCTTCTATAAGCATATTCCTCACTGTACATCGATCACCGACATGAAGATCTAAGTTGTGAAGAGATAGGTGATTGAGTGACCAGACGGACGAAACCCTCTCTACAGTAATTTTTAGGGAGTTATTATAACTCCAAAAATGGAGTAAAAATTTTAGGTACAGGATAACCCCTTTTTTGGCGTTACTTTAACTCCTAATTTGGGATCATTTTTTACTTCTGAAAAAGAGTTCTTTTTACACCCAGTCTGTAGTTAAAATAACTCCGAAAATGGGGTTATTTTTACTCCTTACATGGGTTGTTTTTACTCTTTTTGGAGGAGTTACTTAAACTCTGAAAGTGGAGTAAAAATTTTAGGTGCAGGATAACTCCTTTTTGGGGGTTATTTTAACTCCTCAATGTCAGGGGTCATTTTTACGGCCTGAAAAAGAGTTCTTTAAACTCCTTTTTGGAGTTAAAATAACTCCCCAAAAAATAACTCCACTGTAAGGAGTTAAATTAATCCCACTAGAGGAGTTATTATAACTCCTTAAAAATTACTGTGTGGGGCCAGGCTGCACATGGTAAATAGTAAAGATAACTCAGTAGCCAAGCAAACTAAACAATGACAAAAGTAAAGAAACTGCTTTAAGTACTTGTATTCATACGCAAGCAAACAAATACAGTCAACTCCCTCTGAGACGGACACCTTTGGGACCGGCAGTAAGTGTCCGTCTAAGAGAGGTGTCCGTCTTATTGACAGTCAAATAAAGGGAGTAAAGCAAGGCAGGGACCAACTCTAGGTGTCCGTTTTAGGGAGGTGTCCGTCTTATAGAGGTGTCCGTTAAGAGAGAGTCGACTGTAAACTGTGCGACAGGAAAAGGGGTTACAGTTAAGGCCAAAGATAAAAGGTGTCGACAAGAGAAATCAAAAAACTTGATGGTAAAACAACATCGGGAACGCGAATAAGCTCTAGTGAGACAATAAACGCTCTAGTGACAAAAAAAAGGATGGGTAATACCGCTGGAAACGAAACCTTTCAAGGCTGCGTGTCCGTCAAACTCCTCAACTCCGTACTTGCTCCAATCAAATCTTGTACAAAATGTCAGTATTTAAAAGAGTGAAGTAAAATGTGTAATGTATCGATAGTATTGTCTACCGGGAGTTGTGTTAGCGGAGTTCTCGGATACTGTAAACGTGCAAAGGATCATGGATATTTGTGTGGGCCATGCCTCCCGGGTGTCATGGCGGCCGAATAAAGGGTAGTTTCTTTCATAGTTAAATCTGGTTTATTACACGGCCATCCGGGCGTCATTGTTACAAAATGTAGTAACGTAATAGTTCTAAATACAGTTTTTAACGAAAAGTTAGGTAATTAGTTTGTTTGTTAGTTAATCAGTTAGTTTTTTTTCACGCGTGCATTTTTTCTAGCTGAATATATCTGACTAAATTTGCTAAAACGTGGCTAAACAAATTTCAAGTGCATTTTAACAATTTGACATCTAAGTCGAACGGAAAACAGGGAAAAGTCACTAGCTAAGGCTTAACAATCACAGCGTTATTGCTGGCAACAGACGCTAAATTCAGTCTCTCGCAGAAGTAAGAGGATTTTGCTATGAAATAAACGAGTTTGAAACGTCGGGAAAGTATCACTTTTTAGCCAGTCAAACCACGAGGCCTATAGCTAAGTCTTTTCTAATTTCTTTTGGGTCGACCCAAAAAAAATTAGAAGGGTTTGTATGGAGTTTTCTAAGCATAACTAGGCTACGATCTCAGAGACAATTTGCCCCGAAATGCTCATTTTTGGCAAGTAGGCCTCTTGGACATTGTTCTTTCAGAACATCCGAGCAAATCCCAAAATTTCAGAAATTTCATTTTTATGACGTCACGCTTTAGTACTCTATAAAGAAAAACGTAAACAATGACGTCAGCAAACATTTCCCTATATGAGAGAGATTTCTATAGCAATGTCTTCGCAAATCCAGTCAGATATACTATAATATATTTTACATTTCAGTATAGCAGATGTAGAGCCATTTTTATGGAAATGCTGTGAATAAACCATGATGATGATGATGATGATGATGATTATTATAATTATTATTATTATTCAATAACAATAATAATAATGATTATTATTATTGTTTTGGGCCTTTGGCTCGAGTGCGCCTTTACCTTAATTACCTTTACTATTGTTATTATTATCAATAGCAATCCTATACCTATCACAAAGACGAGTAAATGTAAAACTACATTAGTGATTTAACCTAGTAACTGAACACTCCGAGGTAATTTGACATCAGTATTAGAATGGAGACCTTTCTAGACACTAATAAACTTAAACCAATCTGCCAAAAGAATTACAAAATACAACTGTGTAACTAACAGAACAGTAAAGAACTACATTAAATTGCCAGTAGACACGCCTCTAAAGTGCCTTTGTCACGTATGGTATAACAATGAAAAAAGCAGAAATTGACTACTTATTCCTGATATTTTTCAGGTGACTATAAAACAAGTTTCAACTGCACACGACTGGTCATAAACTTAGCTACGAAACGTACACTGTAATTTTCAGATTACAAAAAACTTCAGCTTATTTATAAACAGCATATAATTTTCTCTTCGGGACAAAGTGTTCGTATTCTTGGGAGGAACGCTCCACTTCGTATTCCCGGTGGCAGTACAAATTAGAAACTGACTCCAGCTGAACTTCAGATAATTAGGAACTGCTTCACTGCATTCTTCATCGTACCTATACAATAACAACAACAACAACAAAAACAACAAAACGCAACGTTAGCAAACAAAAAGAAGAAAAGGATAGTGATTTCAGCTAGCGAAAAATCATTTTGACAACTGACTTCTGAGAGTGCGCTCGATTGATCGTATTCCAGAGGTTTTGTTACAAACCTCTTACCGTAATTTTTGGACCATTTAAAGTTTATATAGATCACAATACTTTATTTCTATCATTTTTGTAGATATTGCAATACAATGAAAGCTAAAACAAGTGATTTCTAGCGAGTTTATTCCATTTATTCCTATTTGGGACGCTCAATAGGGTGAATCGAACACGCCCTTAAATCTGTTAGAGCAAAGGGTCACATTTAAACTGGTAACTTCAACCAACGATTAGACTTATTATAGATTTAAAGAAACTCGCATGCCATAAATCCTCTATTAAGCTCCCTCTCTAATAAGCTTCCTTTTTCAGGGAAAGAAAGTTATTAAACCGCCTCTCTCTTTCAAGCTCCTTCTCCCAATTCTTATATAATAGACGTACAATAGATGTATTAATTTACCACGACTATAACACTTCATGTGGACTGATCATCCAATATGATTTTTTCACGAGCTGGAAGTTCGGATTTGATTTTGATCTTCGGTTTGATGACCTCCAATTTCATGTGCCTGAACTTTTCCACTTAGAGAAATGATTCCAAAATCTTCGCTTAATAAAACAAGCCCCTCTGTCAAACGTTCTTTAAATGAATAAACCCCCAGAAAGTTCAATAGATAAAATAAACCATATTTGGAGACCGTTCCTAAGCGACCACCCTCCGTAAAATAAGCGACCAGAAATTTGATCTTAGCATTTTGGGTCGTCACTTACGTCAAGTACGACTGTAAGTTCCAGTGGAACGAACTCAAACAGGCACAACGACACATTGAAATGTAAAGAAATCATGAGATTTGAAATAAATTTTGTAGTTTAACTGCCAAACAAACTACCAAAGTCAGACTTTTTTGTTGCTGTCAAACTGTCTTGATAGGCACATTGACGTTATAAGTGGCACCGCTTAAGTTGGTTCGTTGCCCTATAAGCGACAAAAATAATTGCCAATCAAAATGACGTTTGTAAAACTAGGGATTATGATTCCAGGTTTAAATATATCCCAAAATACCTTGCTATTTAATGGATGCATCAAACTCAAGAGTAGCGTCATCACCAATGAGAACAAACGGCGCCCAGTACTTGACTGCGTTAAAGCGGTCAGATTCTCTCATCGAATTCATGGCTTTATTCAGGGCCTCACTGGCACTTTGTCCATGGACTAAGTGTTGGTAGAAAACTTTCATGAACTCCATAGTAGCTTCGTCGTCGATCGCCCACAGGGACACCAGAACAGAACGAGCACCAGCCCCCAAAAAGGTCCGTACGATGCCGACCACACCCTCAGATTTGACTTCTCCCCGAGCACTATGACAACAACTAAGTACAACAAGTCTTGCCCTGATCTGCGCCTTTAAAACATCTTTCATAGTTAAGAGATAGTCTTCTCTGGCTGGATTTCCTGATGACGAACGTGTTGTGTTAGGGGCCAAGGCAATTTCTCCTGTTTCCATTTTACCGTGAGCAGCAATGTGCACCAAAGCAACCGAGGAGATACGTCTCAAAACTTCATCTTTTGTTGCCTGTTTTCCAATGAGAGGTACAGTTTGAAGTATTTCCCCAATCATCTGCACTTCTTTTTTAGCCCACTGTAACTGCTCTAGCGTCATTCCTTCATAAACTACTTCCTGTAAACACGGATCGCCAACAAGAAGAGCGCCAGTCTTCATGTGCCAATCTGCTGGACTATTTTGGATTAATCGAAGACTAGAAAGTGAGGGAAGCAGACGAATTCTGAAAGTTTCACATAGGTACTTTGATTTCAAGTGCATTAAAGCAGCATAAGGCGCCAAATACAAAGGTCCTTCTGGAACGACAACAACCTCATCGCCCTGGAGTAAGTCTCTTATAGGGTCTATAACAGCACTGTAAAATGTTTGTAATGATTTTGTCTCAAAACATGAAGGATGACACTTTGCCTTAATGGATCTTTCTTCTGCTAACTTTTTATCGTTTGGGTTCCTTAACGAGCGATCTTCACAAATAACATCAGCTCTCACACCTATTTCTTTATGTATAGTTTCCAAAAGAGACTGAAAATAATTTGTAGCAAGGATAACAATCTGGCTTCTTCTAGTTTTGATTTCTTTTCCTTTCTCGCTCACCCAGAGAACTATTCCTCCTTCGTTGATAGCTATAAAAGCTGTATTTGAAGGTAGGTAGCCAGGAAAGTCACTTGGTCTTGCAGAAAGTGTTCCTATTTCTGAGCGTAGCCCTTTAAGGCCATACTTGAACTGCAGAAGATCGTTTAGAGCCTGTGCACGTCCATGATCAGCAGTTAAAAGTGCCTCGATGACTTTACCTTCCTTAAACTGCAGCCCCCATAGACTCAAATTAATATGATCATATGTATTCGCAAGGCTTATCTTCCATTCGTCATTAGATATGAGATTTCCCCTGATGTGGTCGAAAGCTGTAACACTCTTCTTATAAAACTCTAAGGCCTTCTGGAAATCGCCAAGACTGTAATAGGCGTAACCAAGATTACCGTACGCTCTTCCTTCTCCTGCCCTGTCTCCCACTTTTTTCGAAATATTGAGGTATCGTTCATGATACTCTATGGCTTTCTGGAAATCTCCAAGATTGTGAAAGGCGTTGCCAAGACAACCGTACGATCTTCCTTCTCCTGCCCTGTCTCCCACTTCTTTCGAAATTTTCAGGTGTCGTTCATGGTACTCTAAGGCTTTCTGGAAATCTCCAAGACTGTCATAGGCGTTGCCAAGACTACCGTACTCTGATTTTTCTCCTGCCCTGTCTCCCACTTCTTTTGAAATTTTGAGGTCTTGTTCATGGTACTCTATGGCCTCCTAAAAATATCCAAGATTTTGAAAGGCGTTGCCAAGACCACCTTACGCTTTTCCTTCTCCTGCCCTGTCTCCCACTTCTTTTGAAATTTTGAGTTTTTGTTCATGGTACTCTTTGGCTTTCTGAAAATCTCCAAGATTTTGAAAGGCGTTGCCAAGATTACAGTACGCTCTTCCTTCTCCAGCCCTGTCTCCCACTTCTTTCGAAATTTCCAGCTCTTGTTCATGGTACTCTATGGCTTTCTGAAAATCTCCAAGATTTTGAAAGTCGTTGCCAAGACCACCGTACGCTCTTCCTTCTCCTACCCTTTGTCCCACTTCTTTCGAAATTTTGAGGTATCGTTCATGGTACTCTATGGCTCTCTGGAAATCTCCAAGACTGTGATAGGCGTTGCCAAGATTACAGTACGCTGTTCCTTCTCCTGCCCTGTCTCCCACTTTTTTCGAAATATTGAGGTATCGTTCATGATACTCTATGGCTTTCTGGAAATCTCCAAGATTGTGAAAGGCGTTGCCAAGACAACCGTACGATCTTCCTTCTCCTGCCCTGTCTCCCACTTCTTTCGAAATTTTCAGGTGTCGTTCATGGTACTCTAAGGCTTTCTGGAAATCTCCAAGACTGTCATAGGCGTTGCCAAGACTACCGTACTCTGATTTTTCTCCTGCCCTGTCTCCCACTTCTTTTGAAATTTTGAGGTCTTGTTCATGGTACTCTATGGCCTCCTAAAAATATCCAAGATTTTGAAAGGCGTTGCCAAGACCACCTTACGCTTTTCCTTCTCCTGCCCTGTCTCCCACTTCTTTTGAAATTTTGAGTTTTTGTTCATGGTACTCTTTGGCTTTCTGAAAATCTCCAAGATTTTGAAAGGCGTTGCCAAGATTACAGTACGCTCTTCCTTCTCCAGCCCTGTCTCCCACTTCTTTCGAAATTTCCAGCTCTTGTTCATGGTACTCTATGGCTTTCTGAAAATCTCCAAGATTTTGAAAGTCGTTGCCAAGACCACCGTACGCTCTTCCTTCTCCTACCCTTTGTCCCACTTCTTTCGAAATTTTGAGGTATCGTTCATGGTACTCTATGGCTCTCTGGAAATCTCCAAGACTGTGATAGGCGTTGCCAAGATTACAGTACGCTGTTCCTTCTCCTGCCCTGTCTCCCACTTTTTTCGAAATATTGAGGTATCGTTCATGATACTCTATGGCTTTCTGGAAATCTCCAAGATTGCTAAAGGCGATGCCAAGATTACCGTACGCTTTTCCTTCTCCTGCCCTGTGTCCCACTTCTTTCGAAATTTTGAGGTATCGTTCATGGTACTCTATGGCTCTCTGGAAATCTCCAAGACTGTGATAGGCGTTGCCAAGATTACAGTACGCTGTTCCTTCTCCTGCCCTGTGTCCCACTTCTCTCGAAATTTTGAGTTTTAGTTCATGGTAATCTTTGGCTTTCTGAAAATCTCCAAGATTTTGAAAGGCGTTGCCAAGATTACAGAACGCTCTTCCTTCTCCTGCCCTGTCTCCCACTTCTTTCGAAATTTTGAGGTGTCGTTCATGGTACTCTATGGCTTTCTGGAAATCTCCAAGATTGCTAAAGGCGATTCCAAGATTACCGTACGCTTTTCCTTCTCCTGTCCTGTCTCCCACTTCTTTCGAAATTTTGAGGTATCGTTCATGGTACTCTATGGCTTTCTGAAAATCTCCAAGATTTCTAAAGGTGTTGCCAAGATTACAGTACGCTTTTCCTTCTCCTGCCCTGTATCCCACTTCTTTCGAAATTTTGAGGTATCGTTCATGGTACTCTATGGCTCTCTTGAAATGTCCAAGACTGTGATAGGCGTTGCCAAGATTACAATACGCTCTTCGTTCTCTTGCCCTGTCTCCCACTTTTCTTGATATTTTGAGGTCTCGTTCATAGCGGTCTATAGCGTTCTGGAAATATTTGGCGTGTCCAATATGACTATTCCCTTTTTCTTCCTCTCTACTCTTTCCAACTTCATTGGCAATCCTGTTGGTGTTTTCAAGATTACAATTCGCACCTGTTTGTCCTTTCTCAGTCATTCCAATATTAAATTGCAGATAGGATTTACTGCTTTTCAAGAGAATAGTTTTGGCTGTGACATTTTTGCTGGCTTTGCTATTTCAGCTCTTCTGCAAAAAAGTATACTAGATATGTTGCGATTTCATTTTTTCGTTGATACTATATTTCTCTCTATGTACGACAACGTACGATAACGGAGACTAAAAGTAGAATTGAAACCTAGCATAAAAGCTTACGTGGAATTCGCTCCTGTATTATTTGATTTTTTCTATCGCAGTTGCATTTGGTTTGCTACAAATAGTGAGCCTTCTACGTGTTTTGTGGCGTTGTGTAATATGACTTGATGGTTTGGGGTCTTCTTGAAAAAAAAGGAAAAGACATTCTCTTTGGTAAGAATGATCGAAATTAAAAACGATACCATTGTTTAAACATGGTTTAAGTTATCTATCTACTCATTGTACACTTATCTACCTTTGAGGGTCTCCCAGGGGTTTGGGGAACAAGAGAACATTGGCAAAATATCGAAGGGAACAAGGGAACATGAGCCTATTTTTAGGGAACAGGCGAAGATAACTGTAAAAATTAGACGACGAAAACATTTTGATATAAGAAATAAATATATGTTATTCACCGGCTGGGAGGTCCGTATTGGGAGAAACTGTGACGGAGGTCTTGAGTACCGCCCGAGGCCGTACTCAGACCACCGAGATTTAAAAGTTTTCGGAAAATTTTCCTTCACTCTCCAACCTATGTGTGTTAAGGTGGCTGAACACAGTTTTGCGTGCGGTCAGCGGTAACTCGCATGACGGAGAGTGTTTTAACTTAGACAAACAAACATGGCGGCGAAAAAGCAATGGAAAACAGAAGTCGATTTCTCAAAATCTACTCATTAAAATTTTGTGATATTTGGAGGAATTTTTACTTTTATCGTATCTTAGATAATGAGAACTTTAAAATAGAAGTTGAACAGACGATTTTTGTGACACATTTAATAATTACAGTACAATTATATTACTGATTATCTAAAAACCCCTATGTTAAAATTTGGTCAAATAAGTTTCAAATGGTAATGATTAATTATAGTAAGCTATGTGCAAGTTTATACGAAAATCTAATGATTGAATTTTCTGTAAACTGAGCGAAAGTGAAATTTTAAGGCAGTATTCAATCGTTCATGTTGCCATGGAAACTACGAAAATGTCAAATTTTACCTGTCAGTGAAAATCTTTCATCAGTATATTTTTCACTTGCGAAGTTTCAGCTTGTGAGCTGCAACCCTTCTCTTGCCATGATTTGGCGAATGACATTTACTCACAAACTGCTAAAACTGTGTTCAGCCACCTTAAAGTAGGACAAGTTCGTGTTGATGAAGCGCGCGATCGATTGCAAACCAAAACAAAACATTACAACATGATTTTTAGCTCGGTAAGTTATATTATGGCACTTACTGCTCTATTTAAGGATAAAGAAAGGTTTTTGTGTCTTGCTAGACAATTCATGATCTGAGCGTCAAACAAGGATAAAAGAATTGAGGAGCTTGATATTAAAAGCCGAAGGAAAAAAATACAGCAAGGATTTTCTTCGGCTGAGTAATTCAAAAACTGCTTTAAGATTAGTTCAATCGAGTGGCATAAAACTGCGCAAAGGCTTTGTAAAAATAGCTAATTACAAATACCAATTTTAAGGTTTTGAATTGACTTCGAATAAAAGAAGGTGATGTGAGTAACAAGTTATAAAGAAAGAAATCAAAACGGCGATAACCGACTGCTGGAAAAGTGATTCGTGTTGTTTATTTAAAGTGCTACTACGAAATTGAAATGCAATCATTGACAACAACCTTTTCTGATAAGTAGAAAACTAGCGAGGCAAAATTCAATGAAAAACGGGTAAATCTAGATTCATGCAGCAAAAATGGAAAACAAAACTACAAACAGAGCAAAAATGTCCAATAAACGGTGCATAAAAGCAAGATTGCAGTACTTACAGCGCGGTTATAAAGCTAATGAAGCGACATCACGAGCCCTATTTTGGTTTACTTTACTGGTTTTCCTGGCTGACTTGCTTGATTGTCCCTTCAGATTTTTTGTCTGAATAATAAAATTCACTTTTCCCTAGCTAATGCTAAGAATAGCGCAAGTTTTAAGAGAAAAATTGTTGGAAAATGACGGTTTCTGCTTATTCACAAACAACAAACGAACTTGTGAATGAAGCTGCCAACGATTCTGCCCGGGTTAGCGGGCAAGATCGTAAAATACCGCCCGCTCGCGGAACCAATCAGATTGCAGGATTTGGAGGATTCCGCCCGCTCGCAAGCTTGGAAAAATAAAGAGGGTTATTTCTGAGATTTTATTTATGGTCATTTATGCACCACTGTCATTGGTTTTGTCTACTTTACACAAGAGATCACAAGAACTCAAACAAAGTCAAGGCTCTCAGCGGGGAGTCTGGGAACGAGGTTACGAGGGTCACAAGTGGGCGAAGTTGGCGAAGTTTGCGGGAATCTGTTACCTCTTCGGAGGATTTTTGATAATTTCCGAAGCCTTCTAACCTTCGAAAACTCCCGAAGATGTTCCAACGACCTTTGAGCACTAAAAGACACGATAACTTCAGCGTGTTTTGATTTCGTTAGGACACAAAGTCATCATTCAAAGCCTTTTTGGAATATATTTGTGGAAATCGAATTTAATTTTCGTTATTAATCATGTATTAAATAACAATTTGTGTGGAATTGTGAGTCAGCACGGTGAGAAATTGCCTTGTGCGCGAGATCGATGTCGCGTATGATGCATGAGAGTTGGCAGGTATACAACCAAATATGATGCATTTCTAAGGTAAAGGAACCTTGGAGTTGTAGTGTAACTTCAGCTAATGCAATGCCTACCTCAGGTATCAATTCCCAAGTAGTCTTGATATTTCGCTTGATTTGTCACGACGAAAGGGTCTACAATGAAATCATACTTTGTAAGACAAGTTTAAGTATCAAAGTCAATTGTATTTTCATACACAAAATAACAGGAGTTATATAAAACGTACCTGTGTTAAAGCAACAATCAACCCTTCTACGAAGAAAAAGTTCAACCTATGGGATTTTTCCCTTCCTTTATAATGCAGCTTTCAATTTCACTTTGATCAAATTACGTCAATAAAAGTGACGCAAGTGCTTCCAGAAATAGCTCCAAATTGCAGCCACCCATGAAAATTTGAAAACTTAAAAACATACGTGGGGCACATTAAATCTAATGTACAGTTATTTTAAAATATTTCCCTAAACGAAATAACAAAAAGCTCACAACGAGATCTTATAACAGATGCTGTAGCTTTTTGATAGAATCTTCCACTAAGGAAGTTGGAATGATACTTCCTGTTTTTCTCCGAACACTGCCGGAAGTGACCTTCTAATGAGAATCACACTTTGTGTGTGACTTGAAGTCAAATCGAACGTCACAGATTTGCTGTCATATGCGCTACCACGGAGAACTTGCTTGACAACCGGGCTGGTGACAAATTTCAGTCGTAATATTTCGAAAGATAGTTTTCCTTCAAACTCCTCCCAATTTTCTATATCCGCTACAGTTTTATCAAAGGTGTAGCCTGCGTGGCAGGCGTTTGAAAGGGAAGGGAAAGGGAGTTTCGAGAAAGGGAGTTTCAGGCGCGAGAGAAACGCCAGGGGCGCGCGAGGAAGGAGGGAGGGAAACCCTTCTCCCTCCTCCCTCGCGCGTGGTCTCGCGCCCTAATTCCCTTCCCCTTCCCTTTCGAACGCCCGCCACGCAGGCTATCAAAGGTGCTATGATTGCACCATTACATGATATTGAGGCAGTTTGACCGTTTCAATCATCTACTGATCCCATCGTATCAACTTACCCACCACTCCCTCCCCGCTTCCTTCCAATCCCTTACCTCTTTTGACGCCTGCTACGCAGCCTACACAGATTCACTCTTTCCGTGCTCATCAGTATAAGTAAACCGTTCAGGGTTTTTCTCCCTTCGGAGTGGGCTTTCATTGATGATCCTGTTTGATCAATATCCATATTTTGAAAAACCGGAAAAGAGCTAGTCTGCTACACAGCCATTTTTAGTGTCGTCGCGCAACGCTCCTCCCGAGCGTTGCGTGACGACACTAAAAACGCCTGTGTAGCAGACTAGGAAAGAGCATGTGTGACGGGGAAAGGTTCTAGGGTTACACTTTAAAGTTTTATGCTGCTTTAAAGCATTGTTCCAGGCCTTGTATTGTTTGGTAGCCAGTAACGCTGGCTCCACTAGCACTCTAAGCAGTTCCTCAGATAAATGTAATCCCAAGTCACTGACGGATTACACTAGTAGTAATCAAATGTCGCCATCAGCGAAAGGAGGAAGCAAAAATCTGGTTTTGTGCTGGCTGTAGTGCACTGCCTAAGAGTCAGGAAAATTACGGTCTCATGCTTTCTTTCTGTTAAAGAATTTTTCAATTCTCACCCCTCCAGTCTCGGATGTTTTTGTTCGCCCGGCGATGTGCTTTTGAGTCGGTACATCTTTAATAACTGAACGCAAGAGCCATAATGGGATTATTTATGGCTCTTGCTGAATGTCATTTATAGTGTAAACGTGAAGGTTTTCTTTCAGATAATGAAAAGCCCGCGGTAGGGTACTCCCTATAATGGCCTTTACGGGGAGGTTCCGCCCGAAGGGGGACCTTTTTCGGGCTTTAGGGAAATGAAAGGGGGGGATTTCACTAGTTGAAGTATATGAAAGTGTAGGGAAATCTGTCATTTCGGTCTGTATATAAAAAGGCCCAAAAGGGCTCAGAGATGCATTTTATGGCTGTGAAAAAGTCTAGAACACGTTCTTGTCTGATTAATTCATATTTAATTTAAAGATCTTATTTTAAACAATATTTAGTCAGCGGCGCCCAGTTCAGCGAGGCTTGTTTGAATGGGGCCCTCATGAAAAAAGAAAAAGAAAAAACACTCACTGGGGGGTGACAAGTACAGATAAAAAAGAATCCTTCAACAACGTATAACCAAAAGTAGCGGAGGCTCGATTT